TTTTATCTGGAAATATGAAATTGACTGATTTTTCAGTACTAGTAACAGCACAACGATGAGCATACGACTATAGCCCATGCTTTAATAATAATAAAAAGAGCGGTGTTTTCATATCACTCTCAAAAATTGACTGTGAATTTGGATTTATGAAAATTCATTTCAAATCGTGTGAAGTCAGCACCCCTAAAACGTTTACCCGTAAAAATCATTGTAAAAAATTGTAACTGTGATTTAGATTTCACGATCGCTACTTTGATTAATATCGAAGAACTTCAACCGACAACAAGATTGATATTGAATTTTTACGCTGTTAAAAAGGTGGAAATGCTCTAATGATTTACTCACTGAAGAACCATTTATTTTAAACACAATTTGTGCATAGGGATCGTTTTGTTAAATTATTGTTGTTTTTGTTCTTGTTGCTGTTTTATTTGATGCGGTTTTGCTGAAAAATTGCTTTTCTCCTCAATTAAGGAATCAATCTATTTCAAATCTTCATTACTTTAAGATGGCTGAATTTGCTAGAAGGCTTTTTCTTTTAGTTTCCTTTTTCGAATTTCACTGAGCCCATGGAGATCGATATTCACCCAATATTTTGCTGTTATTCATTTTTTTCCTGAAAACCCATTTTCATAGGAAACAATGGAACATATTATTTCATCACATTTTTCCGTCTGTCTTTCCAGCAGATTTAGTGCTAAGATACAGCTAAGCTACAGCTCTTATTTTTTCGTAATGACAAGGCGGAGAATAAAAAACTAAAAATGGGTCTTTGGCCAATATTACTATTGATAAATTAAATTTTGACCTTACACTTTATACATAGTCTCACATTCTATTTTGTATAAATTGATGATATTTAAGACTGGTTATCGCTTATTAATCAGTCGGTGTTGCTATACATATTCTTGAAAAAATATACAAATCACAAGATAATTTGTATTGTACAATGATATTTTATAGAAAAGTTCATGCAGTTGAATACTATCGGTTATGCAAATTATAGCCAAGATTCTGCGAGACGATATTTCATGTTTGAAAATTGCAAAATTTCACTATTACAAAATATTCTAATATCTCGTAGCCCTACCTACGATGATATATTGCTTTTATATGGACTTGTCCTATTTTTAAATTCACAATATATAAGTGAATAAATAAAAAAGAAAACAAGTGCAATTTTATAACAATATTGATGGATTAAAATATATTTGTTGATAGTTGATAATGAATATTTGACAAATTCATTCATCAGATACCATTTTTAGAACTGAAAAGTAAGGAGATCACGTGTCCCAAGTCCCAATGGAACTATGTAAATTAGGGGAAGAAAATTAGACTATACTTCAATCTAGTGATTTTAACAAATGTGGGGACTGAAGTAAATTGTTTTGTGTGCCTTTCAGGATCCGGCACGCCGAAATGGGTATATCTAATACCGGATATCTGGATAAACTTTGGCTCATTTTGTCAGAGTCCAACTTCGTGAAATGAATTGGATACGCAATACTTTTCACATGACTGTTACCTAAATTCCACAAAAATCAATTTAATAATAACGAACATGAAAACGCAATGCGTTATAGGTAACTATTGGCGTCACGCGATGGACTATGAACGATGATGAGATGTCATTCATATGAGGAATATCAATATTGCAAAATCAAATTCAGGTAATGTCAACAAGAGGTCATGGAATAATTAGATATGTATTGGATTATAGTATAAATGTAATGATATTGCCATGAATTGTCCGCATTAGACTTTTAAATAAATAAATTTCTTGTTTGGGATGAAATTGAACCTAATGTTTTTAGATTCTAGTCCGATTTAGAATCAAAAAGTGATTCTTCTGAATACTTTGAATAAGTCGACTATAGAAATAGCATTCTGTTGATTGTTCATTCTTGGCAGCACCAATGGGATTCCTTTATTCTGTGATTATTTTTGATCACGATATTTAATTTTTGAATTCACTCCAATATTGATTAATATAGCAATCTTTGTAAATTTTCTACTATTTTCTTTATCTGATATACCATGTGCTATTTTGCAATTGCAAAATTATGCAATATTGATATTGCAACATAATGCATAATAATTATATATGAAATGCAGTATATAGTTTTACACATTACCTTCCATTTTACCATAAAGTATAGATTCGGACGCAGTGTCGCAACGGGTACGAATGTGATTCGGAGACATTCGACTGAAAACCATGCAGGAATCGAGCTCTATCAAATTAGCTTGTCTGTTAACCATGGAGAACTCTTAATAACGAACCAAATAAAATGTATATTGCCATTCGACACATTCTACATATTAATATTAACGAGAGCGATATAAAGTTTTCTTCGTATTTTCAGAGTGATTCTATAATCATACTGTTACCGGAGTAAACAAGGTGGACTCAAAGTAGAAGTCCGAAATTGGAGTATTTTTACTCGGCGAGGTCAGGTATAATTCATTCTGCTCGCCTACTTAATTACAAATGTTGCAACTTGTCATAAATCATAAATCAGTAAAAAAGCTACAACGCCCACCTAGACATACGTACGTAAACATTATCAAAGCCAAAGCACTAATAAAATATTATTATATGTTGATGTAACATAGACGAGACAATTCTTGTTAATAGTGATTATGAAACAATAACAATCGAAAGTTTGTCAATGTAAAGTCTAGACTAGCGAAAGTAACATTGGCCAAGTTGTAATTATCATCGTTTTAAGCGTGATCGATTTCGAGCTTGGCTAGATTTTTTTCTGAGTCACGTTTAACACGTAAGCGATTTATTAACTATATTAAAATAAATAATAAATATAAAAATGCCTTTTTAAATTTTTCATGGCAAATTTTCAAATTAATGAATTAAAAAGTGTGTACAGAAGTTTTAATTATCACTCCAAAAATGAAAATTCGGCGTAGTACTGGCACGTATACAGTACGCTGATAAAGATGTAATATTACTAATGTTGCAAAGTAGTTGTCACAACATGGTAGCTATTTTACACTTCTCTTTTTAGCATACGCAGGAACTGGACTTCTCTCAAAAAAAAGAATATCGAACTACTGAGAACTGCAGTAATTTTATTTTCATATAGTTTTTTTTTACAATATATCCATCTTATTTCAACACCAGGTATGAACACAACCTTTTCTTTTGTTTATTTGCTTCTTATATAACGATATAATCATAAATACGTGGCCAATTAATTACATATAAAGAGTAAAATATCTTGGAAATAAACGATTTCCGTGTTTCAACAGATCAAAAATTAAATATAGATAAAAGGTTGCATACTAAGAAGGACCTTTGATATAGTTGCGTATTTACGTCAGCGTACAGGAGTGACAAATGATGGCGTGTTCACCGGCTTTTTACGGCTGTCCCCAGTAACATACCTGATAAGATGTCAACAAAATATGCTCACGATTATTTCCAACATAAAAATGAAGGTAATTATTAGTATTTATGGTAAATCCTACTAAATTTGAAAGGATAGGACGGTTTATTTCTAAAAAACTTGTTGATTTAAATTTTAAATAAGGGTCTTAATCGGAAATCCTGTCTATTAAGCCCCGGATTTATCCACAAATGTTCCTGTTTGCATTCGAATTGGACACTCACCACAATAAAATCTATTGATGAATAATACTAATATTATATGAGTACTTTGAATGCATTCTATTCAACATTAAACAAAAACACACACGGAGAAATAATCGACATTTACTCAAAGCCTGTTTTTGTTCGCCAATTTTTTCTGCACTACTACAAAACGCGTAAAAATAATTATTTTATACATTCATTTAGTTGTTTTTCTATAAAAACATATTACACTAATTAGGTTCTCTTAGCTAAGTATGGTATGTTATTGAAAGGTGATATTTTGATTGAATAGACTTACATTGATAAATTAGCAAAATTTAGATAAGATTATTGCATACTTTTATCTATTTCTATAATTACTGTTATTGTACAGTTAAATTACTGATGTTCTTCAAATCTTCCAATGCTGGTTTCGCTATTTACGTTGATTGACCCCAGGCAAGCTTGATATTGGATCAACAATAATCACTTATTGCAGGGTGGAGTAAGGCCAAGAATAAATAACATCATCGAATGGTTACCTATGCATGGTCCATTCTTAATTAATGAAACAAGTTAGTGTCTTGAATATGAACAAGAATACCTTATAAATCATGATAATGAGTAAGGGGGAGGATTGTGTTGTATACCAAAATAAATAAATTCTAAGCGATAAAATCAGTGTTTTCTGGTATTCATATACAACTCAATAATTTGAGAAATGAACAATGCGGGTAAATGGGCATTTGTGATGTCGATAAAACAATAAGAATCAATGTTTTTTGTAGCGGACAAAAAGACTTTTATGATATGTTGCAAAATAGTTGAATATTCGAAAACAGCACTGTTAGATTTTTATCAATTCCAAATGTCAGTAACTCGATATTTTTATGGAATAATTTGAGAATATTATCAATCATTTGTAACGTTTCAAACGTTAACGTTTGTTTGAAAGTGAAACGAAGAAACGTATTTTTATATTTTTTTGGCGCGAATCTGTTTTATTCAACATTTTTCTTTCTAAACTTGAAATTCTTTTTTCTTTTAGCAGCATATGTATACCGTGATTGGGTTAGAAAATAAAGTGAAATTTGATCCCCAAAATGCAACAAGGTGGTTTCATATTCGACTAACTAAGACACAAAAAAGGCTTCAGGAAGCTGCTTTTGGCATTTATTCTTCACTCAGAGTATTAACTGATAAATACTAAGCTAAGCAACCTGCGAACTGGATGCATAAATCCACACAGAGACAAAGTAATGACGACCAATTGAAACAAAATTTTCCACGCGGAAAAAGTGGTGTGTTCCCTCTGTCCTATTGTTGTCACATCTCATAGCCGAGGTATCTTAAACAGCGCTATAAACTATTTGGAAAATAGTAAACAAAGCAATTAGTTTTTTTGTAAAATTTTATTGAATTATAAAACGAAAATCAACTTTAAATAAAAACAATAAAAATTGAAACAATTGCAAAAAATGATTATAGCTTAAAAACTACATTTCATTTTATTAATTAATCAATGTGATTTTTAATACTCTGCATTATACTAATACATTGCTAACCAAAAAGCTGGCAATAGGCGATATTTATGACTACGATAAATCAGAAATCATGATTTTCCGGAAGCCTAGAAGCTCAAACCTTGCATGGTCCACTATTTTATCGATGCCGTATATAATATCGGTGAAGATGGGAAATATTCGGAATAAGTTTAAAATGCGTATCATTCCAATGCATTGAGAAATCATTATAATTCATATGATTAATTGCATGACATATTAATATTTTGAATAACTTCCAAGAAAAAAAGTAAATGTATTTTGAATATTTGATTTTTTAGGAGTCCTAACTCAATGCAAATAATACAAATACTTCATTAACAATTGCTTTCTGATTTTGTTTAAAATTAGCACAAAAATATATTAAAAATGTGGATATTAATTTCAACGTGGTTCATGGCAAATGTGTAGTAATGAGATAAATCCGACAATATTATAAATTTTATTCAATACAATTGGAAAACAAAAAATAGATAATATATCGTTTGTGAACTTGACAAATATTATTGAATCAAATCGGCCGGTTTATAGCAAAACCAGATACCAAGTCAAAATGAAAATCAACAGCGTTACTTTCATTCATAAATTTGAAAAGGTATAAATATAACGAACGTTCCATTTACTAAAACTGAGTAGGTTGCAGATTCGTTGAACGGTTCCCAACAATTTTCCAAAAAAATATAAGCCGTGATTGAATCGATAGAATTTCATTCGAGTTGAAGGAGTCTTTCATCGCATATTTGGTTTTCTGTTGCAGGCGAACATCGGCCTGCGTCGTTTCACCTTTTGGTGTTTATACATGAATGTATTTTTTGTTTGACTCAGTTGAACATACCAACAATAACACCTTCTTGGCATACTCTTCTTCGATAACGACAGAAATAACAAAGATTGTATTGATCTGAAAAGTAAGTTATTTAGTTAGTTTTACTCGTTTTTTAAAGTTCAACGTAACAAGAAGTTGCTATAGAACAAGACGTATTTAGTATACCTACACTATACGCAAGGTGGTGTGCCTACTTTGAATGTCACAAGACAATACTCGTTGCAAACAGTTCCTAATTGTACCTACCTAAGTAAAGGGTAATTTATATGAAACGTGCAGGTTGCAAGCTGCAAAAATCATTGACTTTGCGGTTGCCTTGATAAATAAAAGGCTTTAGAAAAATATTTGTTAATGAGATTTGAAACCCCATAAAGTATTTTAATTAGGCTCTTCATCTACCGCTTCCAGCTTAAAGGTTCGGGGTCAATTGGCAGCTTGCGCGTGGAGGAATTAGTGGACCAAATATTTTGGTATACAAGCTTTTCTCGAACCAATTTCAAAGCGTTCGTAAAGTCTATAAAATTTTTTACAAAACCAATTCAGTATAAACAACTGCTGTAAATAAACTTACTTATTTTCTTGAATGCTAGGCACGTATACGCGTACTTCTTCGTGGATTTATTTCTTTGACAGGCGAGATTACAACGCTTGGATAATTTAGTAGACACCACAGGTTTCGCAGTTTCTGATGCCGTGGTAACAGGCTCGGCGGTTGTCGTCTTCGTGTTCCTATCATCTTCGTTGTCTTCGGCAGAAATCGGCGGTCTAACCAATTCAGTACCCCACTGGGATTTGGAAGTAGAATTAGTCGAATTTGCTGCGGCTGCGGTGGGTTTATGTAATATTCCAAGTGTTCCCCAAACATTTCTTGGTTGACGATGTGTAGTGAGTGGTGTCGGATCCGGTGTCGGATTAGCTTCGGTAATAACCACTAATTTAAACTTTCTGAATAATGGAAACTTGTGCTTGAAGCTTTTGTGAAATTTTGAAACACCTGGAAATTTAAATGTTCGACTTATAAATATAAAAACACTTGAAGCAAAAATAATATTTTAAAATTTAATGAAGTTGAAAATAGCAAGATTGCAATTCTTGCAATTAGCAAGAATTTAAATGTTCGACTTATAAATATAAAAACACTTGAAGCAAAAATAATATTTTAAAATTTAATGAAATTGAAAATAGCAAGATCGTCTGTCTGAATATTTTCATGAGAAAATCATTTGTAAATTTATATTGATATCGTCAATATTTATTATTATCATTTCGTGTAGAGTGAGATAGGTAGACAATTTTTACATAATTATTTCATTCTAAGCGATAAGTACCGGTCGCAGAATGCTTGTTACCAAACTGTAACAATTAATAAACACATAAAATATAATTATTGAACATATGGAGATAACATGAACAATTAGTTATGATTGATATCAATTAATTGGTACTTCAAAAACAGTTGCTGATAGAAAGTGTAACATTACAAACGAATGCCGAAATAGGTGAAATCTAAATTCGAATTTAATTATTCGGCATTGGAAAAGCAATCGTCAACAAAACGTTTTAAATCTCGGGGTATGCGGCGCAATTATCTAAAATTCTAATACAATGACGAATATGATGTTGCAGAATAATTATACTACCGTTGAAAATAATAGTACAGAACTTGTAAACACGACCGCTGCCATGTCACAAACCAAATAAATAGATATAAATTAGATTTCAAAGGTGTAACACAGTTTCGGTACATTACCAAACGTAATCCATGTGATAATTAACGTTCATTAAACATGCTGTCATTAAACCAAACCGCTCGACATGTCGCTAAAAATGGTATATTTTCCAATCTCCACGACTAAAGGTTCTCAAGATGAACTTTTAATCCGTTTCGATCACAATACACGAAGATGTTTACAACGAATATAACTCGAAAGCTATTTGTACACGTACTTGTTCAATGCGTCAGAATTTGTTCAAGTAATTCTACTCAAATCTAAGCCTTCTTACCTGAACTACAGTTTCCAGTGGTGTATAAGATGAACAGTCCAACCAAAATTTGAAGCCATATTCTTTGAGTCGACATTGTTAATTTATAATATGCGAGTATTTTTAGATTTGTAAATAATCTATTTAAAAATGAAAGTAATTCTTGTTTTGATGATTTGTAATAAAGGGAATTTATAGATAAATATTCGGAATCTGACGGTGTCACACAATGTAGTCGATGATTTGTAATAAAGGGAATTTATAGATAAATATTCGGAATCTGACGGTGTCACACAATGTAGTCTGCGTAACAAATATTTATCGAACTTTAACCTTGAAATTTTAAGCTCAATTCTTAAATTATTAGGCATCAACGTTATAGGTGTTTACGTTTAACTATATATACGAGTATATATATGTATTAAAACAAGCGAGTTAAGGGTTCAAATATTTTCATCGTATGAGTCCTTAAATCAAATTAATTGAATTATAATTACATTGCAGCGAAATATATACCTTACCTTCCGTTTGTCTGTAAATAATTGACACTGATATAACTTCAGGTAGGAGGAATAACAAGATAGATACGCAATATTCCATGAAATTATAGAATCAGCGAAAGTAGATATTCCTTCTCGAATAAAATTCACAACTAAATGAAAACGTTATTATAGTATCGGTATATTGGTGTTCATCCGACGTTGTTAATTTGCAAATTCCCTGCTCGATATTTTATGTAATGCATTACAACTTTTTTTTCGTGTTTATCGTCCAATACCTCACGTTGTAAAAAAAGTATGCTGCTATGATCAACAAATAACCAACCACATACAGCTTTGCATCTCGAATCGCCGCTCGCCTCAGCGTAACTGAGCTAAGTTTATCTTGCGAGTATTTCTTCTGTATTATAGAATCAAATATAATATATTACAAAATTCTCTCAACGGTTAGTTTCAAGTCACGTCGTGCAACCACGGCACCACCAACCAAACGCATGACTGTCGACGCGGAGCCTGCCTTTTCAATACCCTCGAGATACGCTCTTTTTTCTTTTAGTCGATGATTCAATTTATTCGAAATGCAATAAAAAAGTGAAGGTAAATGCAAAACGTTACTGCTTATTTGTTGCGCTGATCAAAGTGTTTGAAAATTTCTCATTAGAACTACAGTATATAAGTTTAATGACGTCATAGTATTTTCTAATAAGGTTATCTACGTAATTAGTGTTACATCACGCAACGAATTATTGGTAAGGAATATTAGGCAGTGATAAAAAAAATCCTGTTATAAATTTCTTCTAAAAATTGGATTTACATTGTATATCACCAGTTCCACGGATCAAATATATTACAACTATTGTTGACATGAAAATAGAGCATTTTTCTTCTTATAAATTGCATTCGTATTCAAATTTATATACAATTATTACACTCCATGATTAAAAGTACTTTGTCTATGACCCCTGACCGCACCCAGAATCCTGTTTAGAAATTTGAAGTTTTGCTTTTTGGAAGAAAAATACAAATAATAGTTTTTTATTTCTGGTAATAAAAAGGAAATTTACTATCCTAACCACGCAAGGCACTTAGGCGTCTTACTGGTACCGCGCCAAAAAGGTTAAACGCGAGGTCATTCGCAGGTACTCAATTATCGAATTTTTCTACAACAATTTATCACTTTCCGTTCTCCGTTTACATTCATAAAATGCCGCAAATCGCTACCCACACATTATTGAATTTCTGACAAAACTTTAGTTACAACATAAAATTGCTTGAAATCTGATATTGAATTCGTACGTGGGCTATAATGGTCACTCAGATATGAATCATTTAAGATGGTTTTATCGAAAATTTGCCAACTGCCAACCGTGTGAACTTTGTAAAGAAGATGCATAAATGTAATCTATTAAACACGATATCGGAAAACAAATTTTAAGATTTGTTGATATATTTATATCTCGTGTAGTTGTATTAATTTATGTTTCAAGCGACGAATTGTGAACACCGCCGCGTATCACTCAAGCTATGAATGTTTTACGCTTTCATTTCCTTTTGTTGTGTGACCATCAATAAAAAACCATGTATATGAAAGGTATTTCCATGGCGGTTTTACCATCTAATATTCATAGGATGTAAATCGGTGTAAATAGTCCGCCAAGAGCGTCACATACATTACGGCCGACTTGCAACCCGGTGCTGAAATATTCAAGTCAATCCGTGGATAGTATATGGACTGAAGAAATTTCAAAATGAGGAGGTTATCAATTCTCTCGCACGTAATTAAAACCACGGGATCCGTACCCCAAATTTCCAACACATGGAAAAAGCGCTCCATTTCTAACGCTCAGCAGGGAGCGTTAACTGTCGAGTCCATTGGCTAGTGACAACGATAACCAAAGCAACCCCTGCACACGATCATTTTCTATATAAAACAAAACGATATTCGTTTAAAGATTATTGTATTCATATCGTTAAAACGTACTTACGTTGGAAATTATTATACAAAATAAAGAACTCTGATAGGAACACAAAAAGTTTCACACTCCGCCTGCAATCAACCATTTCGTGAGACATCCGGTGAGAGTAGTGAATAAATTAAAGCAAATAGGCAAAAACCTACCGCCGCAATATATTATATATATATATATATATATACATAAGTCTTCAATTGCAAAGTTCGTTTACCTACTAACGAAATGCATACCGCAAAGATAGATTGGAAGATATTCGTATTATGTTTCACAAATTGGTGGGCTACAATCACTAGTTCCCCTGGTACATTAATTTCTGCCAAAAATTAAAATGTTACTACTCAACACCATAAAACTATTCCGCGCCATGAAATAGCGTGCAAACTTATATCAAACTACACTGATGGATTTGCAGGACAACGTTCTTGGAATTACCTGATAACCAGCGAAATCGTACTTTTTGTGTTCTTGGATTCATATATTTATCCCGGGGGAGAGGAAAACCTATAAGGCGGTTTAACCATATGGTGTACCACCGCCTCTCGTCCGTGCCAGGTATGGAATTAGCTAGCCAGTTAACTGTTTTCGAAAGCATAGGGTTTATCGTGGAGGAAGCCGTAACCGATCAGGGGTTACGTGAACAACCCTACGGCGGCGAGGAGTCCAGCAATCTTCTCGCCCATAACTATCCCCGCATGGGGTGCCAACCCACGCAGGTGCGGTGGCGAGCTTATTCCTAACGCCCCTAGCACGATGCGCCATACCGCCGAGTATAAGTAGATAGGACTTGTTCTTATCATGGAATCTTAAGTTACGTTCTTGTATCGTTTATAGAGATCTACTCTTGACATGGTTTTGTTAAACTGGGTACCTGCTATTACCGAGTTCATTTCACCACCCCCAAAGAAACCTTCATCAACCATCGAGAATGATTACCAGGTCCTAATTCATCTCTACCGAAGACGAAAGTGAAACTTGAATAATGTTTCTATAGTGCAATGTATCTATCACCCGGTTCATTAAATTACAGTAAAATATTGAAGCATGAAAATTGCATAGGCAAAAAAATCCAAAAATATCTACAATTAACAAACGGATGAACAAAATGTCTACATTTGAAAATTTTTACAATTTTACATCCAAATTTATCCTCCATTAATTGGAATAATAAGCCATGCATGAATAAAATTGATAAAAAATAATTAGGAACTAAATAAAAATAACTACATCTTCACAATGGCGATGCTCATTGTCAAATACTTTGGAATCTTGAACTTCAATTGTGCAAATAAACCGATTTTTGAAAATTTACATATAGATGTTTGATAAAACTCTTGATAAGATAACATGATAAGAAAAAACGACAATTTCTATTTCGAATTTTAACCGACGCCATTGAAAGTGACACATTAAATGACGAAAGTATTCATAATAAAGGACACCTGCATGAAAAGGTTGCAAAAAATGGTCGTTCAGGATAAATTTCCTATTTGGCTACTGAATTTTTGAAAGAAATTGCTCCGGTAGTTATTTGGCGCAACATCAGGAATAAAAACAATTTATAAATAATGAACGATCCACTGATCTACTTCATGTCCAACGATTCAACTTTTGAATGCATCGATCAATAACAAGCTCAATGTGAGTATTGAAATGTTGAGTAAAAATCTATGAAATAAAAAAGGTCGAAATGAAATGGCAATCTGCTACGAATAAGTGTAGAATGTATGTCATCATCGTATATGCATCGCTTGTATTCGTGGTGCGTTTTCCACATTCATGGTTTACAGAGCAAATCTGGAAAATAATTTGAGAGAATACTAAAATAAAAGCAACATCAAAGCATCAAATCGATTGAAAATGTTGGTTGTGCTCGTAAGTGCTTCAGGTAAGGCACCAGTATAAAGAATTCAATTGGTGACACAAACATCAATGTTCTCCTGCCCTTTAGGTATACCAGTATTTTGACTTTTCCTGTTGCCCAAGAGGCCGAAAATTCTTGTCAATCTACTTGGACTGTTGTCTGTTGTGATGGAGTAAGTAACAGAGCCGTTATGTCTTGATGGCAGTTTTCTCAAGACCCTTGGACAACAAAGGTGAAGCAGATATGATATATCTCATATGCATCAAGAACTACATTTTTTGATACTGCTCAGTGTGCAGTGTGACCAACTCTGAAAGAATAAAATGAAAACTTGCAGCATACCATACCTTCTGCATGAGAACACCTCATTGAGGATCTTAATTTCTCTCGTCATCAGGTACTGTGATACGTTCAACTGTTACGTGGCTCTGTGTCGAGGAGGAGCGAGAATGTGGAAATCTTGCCAATATTAAAGCTGGTGTATCTTCGTGGACCAGGAAGCAAAGCTAAAAAATAAACATAATTTTAAATTAGGAAATACCATATAGGATGAGATTTTCAGTCTCATGAAAAAAAAAAGTCAATTTCAAGATGATTTTGTTATATTATGAACCAAAGCCCAGACCCAGTTAGCCAATGTTTTTGATAAATGGAAAACATACATCTTGAACTAAAAATCTCAGCCAGTGAAGTCCTACAAAAATTCTGCTTTTGACTTGTTCCAGGTTTTTGGTGAAAAACAAAATTAAGTTTTAATTAAACAATTTACATTGATTGTATTGCATAAAAAATATTAAACAAATAAAATATGACATAGAAAAACCCCATAAAACAAAATGATCCAAAACTATATTTATACAATATTTCTAAATTACCCATATTTCCTTATTATTGTTCTTTTGAAGTACATCCTTGATGATATCAATGTGTTCTAATGCAATGTGAAACCTTGCAATATTCAGAGTTATGTTGTCACATTTTGGCACAATTCTTGACAGAAGATGGTTGAATTCATGCAGGTTGATATCTTCTCCAAGACAAAGATCAACTTTTTGAAGCTAGAAAGGACAAAAAAATAGACTATAAATATATATTGTGCACTATTTGGTCACCCAAGAAGTGTGTGTACCAATATGATATGGAGGTAACTAATTTTGTTCGCCTACTTTAATCAAGTTGTGTAAAGGGACTGAAGCTTATTGGCAGGGGGTATATTCACTTGGCTAACACTGACATTCCCTGAACTCGAAATAGAACTAAAATCGGAATGAAATTATGGCCTAACTCTAAGCTGGTACACACACTACACTATTTTGTGCCTTTATGACAAAACACACAGAAAACTCAATTATCATCTGGGTTCAAAAGCTGGCCATTCAGTACAAGATTAACTAATAGGATTTAGGTAATTTAGTCACCCAGAAACATGTGAATGACGCTCGTACAAAGATTTATATGGAGAATAATATATCCGGTACTGAAGTTTGGGTGGGATAGGTGGGATATTCTAGTAAAGATAACTTCAATACTTTCAAAATAGGTGGTTCTATAGAGCCCTATTTTAAGCAAAAGCATAGAAAAATTCATTCAAAAAAATCTTCATCATACTTCTTCAGTAATTTCTGCTATTTGTGAAATGATGTACAAGTCACTCGGAGAAAACGAAATATCCGGTAGTGATATTATTTTTACAAAGGATTTGACAATATCTTGAACAGACTCTCCACATTCATGCAATGATGCAAGGAGTTCAAAGCGTTGAAGTTGAGTTAATCCCTCTATTTGCAGTTGCTCTGCTAAACTTGATTTTAAGGATGATATAAGATCATTATGGTGCTGTTGTGCTGAAAATAATAAAAACATTACGAGGCTTAAATTTATTATGATACTAGTATATTTTCAGCATGGCGAAGTAATAAATTACAGACCAATAATACAATCCCAGTGCTGAGGAATGGTTTCAGCAGATCGGATAAATATGAAAATCCTATCCTATGATCTATTGATTTAGAATAATCACTATTGAAATGAATTGTGATTTGTGAGACATAATTTTATAGAACTGAACTATGTGGGTATTGTCACCTCAACCATGATGTTTGTTGTAGGCTACATAACAAACACAAAAATGACACCAGGGTTATGAGATCAGAGTTTGGCATGGTGTTACTGATATTGGAATACGTTTTTCAAATTCAGAGAGTTGGATTTGAAATATTTAATTATTTTGAGTTTGGAGTTGCAACTTCAGACATATAATGATGATAAACAAAGTGAAAACTTTGGATAGAAAAACAAAGTGAAAATTTTGGACAGAAACACAAAAAGTATCGAGATGACTGTGCCTTCTTAATTAACAAAAGTTGAAGAAGGCTTGCATATGCCAAAGTATTTGTTATCGAAATTGGTTTTCTTAGAGTTTGAAGATGTAACCGGAATCATAATTTCTTTAATCAGAAGGTGAGGGTCAAAATTCTAGTCAAACTGTGATCGAAAGTTGGAGTTGAAAGAGCTATTTTTAAATGTCCGGTCTTAATCGAGTGTGATTACACAGTTATGAATTGTACAACTTAACAACAAATTTTCGTCACACTGTATCAATGAGTATAATAAACTTACATTTAACGTAGTAAGCTAAATTTTTCCTTGTTTTCTCATTCAGTAAAAACCCACAAAGAAATTTTCTAACAACAATCCATTCATCTGTATGAAGCTTAGTTGAAAGTAATTCTTTGAATTCCTAGAAAAATAAAAGAGCAATGCCAAAATATATGGACATGAAACTGCTTATTGCTATCACATGTGCTCCCATACTTTGTTCCTTACAGGGCACAAGTTATTATGATGCAACAAAGAATCATGGCGCCAAAATCAAATGCCGGATGCGAAAGTACTTAGATAAGTTATGAGAGTGGGCATCTTGGCTGTTATTTGAATTAGAAATTTGAACATTTAACATCATTCCTTAAGAAGAAACTTATAATTGTTCTTTAGCAGTAGTCACATTTTGTATACATGAATAAATTTTTCCCATCACATCACATAAAAATCTTTATAAAGTATGCCACATGCGGCCCATGGAAAGTATGTTGTGCAGGCCTGTCCTATTCTATCCAGTATTTACCTCCAAACTCAAAGTTGTTGTGGCTGCAGCGGCAAAAAACTCAAATATAACTTGGTTTGAAAAATGGTAGGAAAAATCACAAGGAAACAATCGAAAAATAACACCATGTCTATGCTGTGGTGCCATTGTTATGAAATCTGCCATGTGGAAGTCTTCTATCGCATGACTTTTGATCTCTTTATCTCCGAACCTTAAAAATAACAGTCATTAAAATGTTTAGTAATAAGGCAAATTGATAAATGAATGATTTTGTTATGAAGACAAATATTTTGTCAAAATAATTTTGTTTGAAATTCACAAAAACTTGTTAAATATACTCTAGAATTTTTTTTTTTACAATTTCCCTTATTAAAAGAACAAAAATCTTGAGACTATGCTTATTATTATTTCTACTCAATTTTCAATAAAAAAAAATAACTTTCCGAAGGAATATGAATACATTAGTAAGGTTTCACTTGGTAGTTGAAATTCTGAAATTAGAATCGTTTTAGATGAGATTCTTAAGACTAAAAATATCAGTGGGACTAAATATTTCTTAAAACCTTAAAAATTTTATTTTGCGGGAATTTTATTACATATGTTATTATTGCAATAATGAAAATGAAATAATATTCATTTTTGGTTTTCAGATTTTAGGCCCCAAGATACAATCACACTCACAAAATCGGGATTAAATTTAAATTGAAGACCCCTCCAATCAACAAAGATTATAACTTGTGATACTTTAAAAATTGAAGTTCACATTTCATAATAAATATAAATAGCTAAAAGTTGATACTTTGGCCCGTTTTTATCCCCTTGCATAGTATATTCTCAAAAATATTTATAGGCTAAGCTGATACTTAGTTTAAAAACATTTCAAACTAACTTTTGGGAAATTGATGTCTCTTATCATACAAAAATACAACTGCAGTACTAGTAACACATATTTTTGGCACCAAACTGGATATGTCACCTCATAATGCCACGTTTCATCAAATCAAGTGCCAGTGGTTTGAGTTTCCTTATGCTTTCGATTACATCGTTGGAAGAATGCGAAGATCTGAGGAATAGTTGCATCATTTGTGAGACGAGCAAAATATCAGAGGCGATTTCTTTCTGTTTGTAATGGTTTGCTTCCATCAAAGCAGACAGAGCAAAATACTGGAACAAAACGTCATCAAAAAGTTGAAAAGCCATTGGAAACCGCCTCGCGAATAATAAACTGAATTCCTCTCCTAAATATAAAACAAATAACAATGGAATACATATATGTATTATTACATTCGCATTGATCTGGTAAATAAGGGCAGATCTTTGAGACAAACAAAGCTTGAAATATTCATTACAAATGATTAAAAATGAGTGGTGACGTGATGGAAAACCAAAAAGATTTTGGAGCCTCCAAATGAAAGCAACTCCTTTCATATAGTGAGTCGTGACATATCAATGGCTGTCTGTATAGAGCATTGTATAGAGCATGACAAAATATCCATATAAACATAGGCATGCATAGTCAATCCTGAGTTATTTAGCGGCAGAACCGTGTAATTGTGCAAAGGCATTCACTGTTGATAAAAGCTAATTTGGACGCCTAAACAAATTTCAAACCTTGCAAGCCTGGAACTGGAAGTAATGATTTTGTCACTGAAACCTTCTGATTTTCAGTCATTGGCTTTACAACAACGAATTTCTGAGGCCTGGAGTCACCTGAATATTAGAAAGTATTAGGAATAACATACGGTATGCTACTGTAGTTTCAATCACCACATTATAAATGGGAATCAATTATCAAACAGCAAGGAAATGATTATGATGGACAGAATTGCAGCAATCCTCGATAATTGAGGTCGTTTCACATACCTGCTGGTTGTTATGGTTTCTGTGGCCATCCAAGCTTTAAGAATTGCCAAAAAAAATAACTACTGCCAAACCTGACTTGATAATTAGATAAAATGGCACGATTCACCACATATTAATAAATCATATCAGCCTTTCTCTGGGATAATTACAAAAATGCAGAGTCATTAGATCAGTTCATGCGTTAATAAACATCGATCATTGGATCAAAACATAAAAATGAAGGAAAATTTTGAAAAATTACCAGTTAAAAATGCACAGGCAGACATGAGGTTTAGAATTAAAATAGAATCCTGAATTGACCAACAGAAATTGAGTTAAAATGTACAGATTTAGGGTGTTTTAGACGCTAAAATTTTTTTCTCAATTCTGCAAATGTCATTAAAAAATAAACTTCATTCCAATATTTATGTCTCTTACTCAAAAATGAATTTTACAATTTTGAAATTAGGTTGAAAATAAAAATATGTAAGATTAATTGTATTTGTGTGAAATTGAAAAAATGAAAGCTTTTTTCAGAAATATTCAAAGCCATTTAATAGTTAATCTGTGGTTCCACACATAATATGACTACTTATGACCTTCTACCTTTTAGATTTTTCCATGCCCACTCTCTTGCAGATATCAGTGTCCTGCATCCTGGCAACAAATAACCCGCGATGAAATTTTGAAGAACGACTTCAATTGTTGTTTCAGATTGGTTATTAATTCGTCTCTGAAAATCAGAAATCTTTCACACTTTTTCTTTGTATTATTCAATAAAAACTATTCATACTTACAATAGGGTAATGGAAATTTTTTATCACATCCGCGACACCATCAAATATGAATAGTATTTTTTCTTCGTTTTCAGTAATCCATTTCATTCCATATTTGTAAATCTTTTCGTCCTTGTTTTGGAACAACATAAAAATATGGATGGATATATAAATTTAAAATTCGTGGTTACCCCAAACGAGGTAATTGATAAGAGATCTTTCTGGCAAGGAAATTTTTAACTTACATTATTGCAATACATATTTAGGCATACCTAATAAACTGTTCAATCTGTACAAAAGCCAGAGTGCAAGTTGGGTGCATCATTAGCTATGATCAATTGAAGATTGAATAACAAACGGACAACAGGTTTTTATAAATAGTGACATAACAAAAGAGCTATGAACGTAATATGTGTACCAAGTTGGGGTTGGGCCATAATTTTATTCCAATTTTCCTTCTTTTAGTTCTACTACCATTTCGGGGACTAGCCAAATGACTACTGTAGTATTTGTATCTGAAATTATGGCCTTACCTTAACCTGGTACACATACTACGTTCCGGTGTTCGCCATCTTGGTTCACATACTTCAGGAGTACCCAAACTACAGCAGCTCAATTGTGAAAATTGTACATATAATGGGTTAGTAATAGTGAGTCACAAGGTAATTGTTCAATGTGCTAGAACAGTGATTCCCAAACTTTTTGGAGTTGGGACCGACTATTTATTACCACAGCTTATGGCGACCCATCTCGTGATTTTCTACGATGTAATTATATTTTTGATAAATGAACACAAAAGACCTCTTTCCAAAAAAAAACATAGTGCATAGTTATTCTTCAAAAGAAAATAAATCTAAATCCTATCTAAATTTCGGGGAAACACGGTACGAAGTGCTGTACAGTGTACAAAACTGCTATGCGTATAAAAGCCACATAGTCATTCTTTGTTTAGCAAATTTTTTGTTCCTTCAAGAAGATCGTAAAAAGGAAACTTTCACAGATTGGAATTTAGATCCAATTTAATTTCTTTTGTCTTTTTAAAGATTTACGTATTCAAGTCGCCACCGATCCGAATAACCACTAACCAGTATAATTAATCAAAGCTTTCTACATCTTTTCATGACCCACTAAGATTCCTATTGCTGGGTCGCGACCCATAGTTTGGGAACCGCTGTGCTAGAGTATATCAATCCATTTCCATAAAAGATATTTGTTATTTGGCCATAAATAGACACAGTTATAAATGACCTTGCGAACAAAGTAGGACGGCAATATTGAACATTCTGCCATGCGCATAACAACAAGGACATTTATCACGTTGATTAAATGTGCATATATCAAAATACTTTTTCTTACAGTAATTCATTGCCACTAAAGTGAAATATTTTTCACAATGGATCGTAATTTTCATTGAAAAAAATTAATGAGTATTAAGCTTGAGAACCTGTTCTAAATTAATTTAAAAATTATATAATTCATCTGTTGTAAAATCAAAATATATACTACAAAGCATGATTTAACTCCAAAAATTGATAAAAGTCATTTCCAATATGAAAATTTCTCACAATAAGATCTGGATATCAGATTACATTTTAACTAAATTTAAAACTAATAAGATATTACAATGACAATTTTTTTCTTGGAATACATTAACATACCGTAAGAACAATCATTCTTTCCAGCAGCATATTTGCAAAAGTAGTTGGATTTCTTCTTGATAAAGTTTAGATACATCTACGTAATGAACAACTTCAATGTGATGTAAAGCAGGAACTTGTCTATTAAGCACCATCTTGGCATATCTGAGAGGAAATACATTAGAAATAAAGATGGCATCAGCATGTGAGCATATGAGTTTATGTGTTATGATCCGTTTTGATGATTTACCGGAAGGCGAAAACATTTGGCCTTTCCGTAAACAGAAGCTGTAAATACTGTATGTAGAACAGGTCGTTTAATTAAACAAATTTCACACAGAAACTATCTTGAAGGATTGAGAAAGAATTTGGAGGACAATGGCTACTATAGTTTGAAAGATGTCTACTCAATTTATTCGACTCTGGGTGAAGGGGTGGGCATCGAATTTCAACCAGAGATTTCAACCTGCGATGCCATCATAGATAAGTCTAACACTTAATAAACCACCAGCGAGGCATAATATTATATTACATGGAGTTAAAAAATTAGATCAACAAGATCAACAAAATTAATTTTTCGTTATTTAGATGTAATTTTATTGCCTACACTCTAGTATTATTGTCTATATGATTATTTGCCTATGTCCTATGCTATATTAGGAATGGATGTTATCTTCTGTTAAGTAGGATAATTGGTACTCCCCCAATATGTGAAACAAGATGGCGGACACCGGAATGTAGTACGTGTACCAGGTTAGGGTTAGGCCATAATTTCAGGTACAAATACTACGGGAGTCACTTCAGACTTCACTAGTCCCCAACTCATAATAGAACTAAAATAAAGAAAAATTGGAATAAAATTATGGCCTAACCCTAACCTGGTGGGATAATTACTAACAAAGGGGAAAGTTGTTGAACAATTCCTTTTAAAAAATAATAACTAATTATAATCATGTTTGCCTCATGAATTTACATGTACAAAGATTGTTTGGTCATACATTTTTAACAGTACTGTTTTTCCACATCCAGGCGGGCCCACCAATGCGACATGGTTACATTCACTTCTAAGTAATCTGAAATGTAAATCTTCCAATGTGATCGCATTTCCTTTTACTTCACGTCTGTAATGTTTGATATATTTTGCGTCCGGAATGTACTTTTGATTACCTGCAAGAAATAAAATAGACATTTTAAGTGAAATAGAAATCATTCTAACAAAAAATACAATAAGATTGCAAGAAACTCGGGAGTTCTTTAGCCTTGTATCAATAATGCTGGTGCCCCAAAAAACCAGAACCCATCAATTTCTTAGTTACTTTTACGAGGATGAATTTCTACAACACTTGTCAACTTAAATTGACAATCATAATTCAAGTCAAAGCAAGTAGAGCACAAGATGCAACAATGCTTTATTGGCTTTAATGCAATAGAATCAATCAAAAGAATGTTGTTTAAAAGCATAGAATCCTAGTCCAATATTATATTTCATCTGTGTATGACTGATTAATACTTCAGGTTGCAGTAGTGCTGTGTGAGGAGAAAGATACCAGACAAAATCCTAGCAATTAACAGTCCTGATTATAGTGTGAGAGTTGCAGATGACTTAAAATTCCTAATTTATATAGACTGCATTTTTTTGCTAATTCAGTGTTCCATCCATCAAAAAAAACGTTACCGGTAAGTTGGATAGACATAAAATGTATTTAAAACATATAACATATATGGAAAAAATAACAGATAACAATATAATATTAACAATGCCATCTGCTCATAATATGTTCATGCTCACGTTCTACTCCAGCCATTCCGGAGAAGTATCTAGTCTCAATTAGTTCTGGTATTTCTCGGACAACTGGTTGAGAAAGAAGCTCGATGGGTGGTGTAATTTCAGTTTCAATTTCATCTAATGTTCTTTTATTGATTTCTCGCACAAATAGTTGTCCATAGTATTCAACTAGAAGATTAAGAATCATTTTTTAACTTAGCCATAGGAATGATGAGATTGGCAATTGGAATTTACTAATATCATATATAAGTCTGTACAAAATATGGCTGATAAGTGGCGTACAAAAATATTAAGATGTCTATAAATAGAAGTTGTCAGAACGATTTTTAAAAAAATTCAATCAGCACTGTTAGGAAAACAGCCAGATGGAACGGGTATTGATTCTCAAACGCAGACGTTCTTGAGAAATACTTTTAGTATAGAATTTTTATCGAAAGTTTGAACCTTTAGCAGCTAGTACAACAAATAAGTTTAAACAGGATTTAAAATGCTATTCAGAAATTGCATTTTTCATGAAAAAATCAGATATTTATAATTAAAGCCATTACTTTTTTTATGATGGTAACTTTCGCTCTGAATAAGGCCCTGTATAAGCAGCCACTGAGATCTCATAATGTGTACAGAGCAGGGGCCGGCAAACTTTTGTCATTCACGAGCCAAAATTAAAGGTTGCAAGTCATTGGCGGGCCGCAAATATTTTTGGAACGTTAAAAACCGAGGGAATGGCCAATGAATTATATTTTGTCACACAGATCTTAGGTAAATTTCAAGCAGCGCGCAAAGACTGATCATTTGAATATTTTCTGCGCCATTTAACCATTTGCACTCAGCATCAACTTTTTTACGTTCTGTTACCATTTGTCTAATTATAATCAATTTATAGGCTCATTAAACGAGTGATTGTGAATTATATACTTGTTCAAAACAAATCCTGTTATCTGAAAAATATAATCGTCATTACAGTTGTTTTGTTAATATAATTCAGTGAAGTGCAAGGGCCGGACTATATTGTTCCGCGGGCCGGTCTGGCCCACAGGCCGTAATTTGCCAACCCCTGGTATAGAGCTACTGTTATTTCTTATCATTTATTCCTCTCCCAGGAATAAATATATAAATCTCACATCTTATCTGAATCTAATGTAGCATATGATTATAACACAATGAATATGTCATTTTTCTTTTCATGCGTGTTCTCTCAATTTACTCATTCCTCTTGATTCCTTTTTTTACTACGGTAAATTTGAAAATATGAGAGTAAATTTTTCAATCTTCTGTGACAAAAATCCTATTTCTTACCTGCCCTGTCATCGACCAGTAGTTCCTCTAAAAGAAAGTTACAGAAATATTAGAGAAAATTCTGATCTTCCATTTAGGGGGAAGGAATATTCTAGTCAAAGATATTGCATGATTGATTTTTGACTGATTTTTGTTAAAATTTATCTTTTTAAATTTAGTTAAATTTAGTTTTTTTTATTTTACTTTTATATTTGACTCAGTTTTTGTCATTTGAGTAAAACATCGCTGAAATGTTGAAGTAATCTAGTGTAATTAAGCATAGATTTTACAAAACTAATTTTAAAAATAAATAAAGAACTTTTATTTTGAAATCATCGTTTTTTGGCAAAATTTGTTTTTCTGCATTAAAATGATTGTAAGTTTCATGAATAGCTTTCATGATAAATTAATTAAAAATATTCATAACTGAAATAAATCACACAGAAAAAAAATGGGACAAATATTATGCTCATACTTGATCACCATGATAAGTGCTGTAGTAATAAATCCAGCAATGTTTCAGATGTATTCAAACATGAGCCAGCACACAAGGTATAATGAGCAGCTTGGGTGCATTAAAATACTTTTGCCAAAAACGAATATTTGAATTAGAAAAATAATGAACTAACCTGGATAATGTATGTTATAAGTATGATTAACTGCGATCAGAAATCGCCCTCGTAATAGCTGATTTAAGTCTGGCACAAGCACTTGATTTTCTGGAAAAAAAAATCAAAATAATTTACTCATTGACTTCAGATAAGCCAAAAATGAATAAAATATTTAAACATATTATATACATTAGATTACATTTGGAATAGTAAAGCAATTGGTTTTAGTCGTACCTACTTCATCTAAATTTCAAAATATGTTACTCCAACAGTTTGCATGAACTTGCATAATCATAAAGTAAAACAATTCAAACTGATATAAATTTGATATATAAAATAATATATAAAATGGAACTAATTCGTTGAAATCGTATGAAAATGCCTTATCCACTTCCTGGGTATAACTTCCGTAACTTAAACAAATTCTAATCAGAATTAATGATGCACAAAATAGTAGCATCAGGGTCTTTATCGGAAAGATGAGATTATTCTGATCAGTTAATTACCATTCATTATTAATAATTGTCATTGACTCATAGCTGTGGATATGAATGGTAACATGACAGGTTCTTCACTGTTCCATACATGCTTTAAGAGTTACTTAATCATTATATAGAAACCATAATTTTTTATTTCAACCGCAATTTTGCACAATCAAAACATAAGAAATCAAGTATAGTGCTTTATTCTTATGCTGAATTTACTAAATGTGTTGTTTACTGACCGGTTTGTGCAAATAATTGTTCATTGTTAGATGTTGTTACTTGACTGGTATGGTCCACGACTGGTGTCCGCAAAAATGCTTCAGCGTTGATGGCTGAAGACATAGCAATATTATGAATTGGGCAAGTGAGGCTATTGGGGGGAGATCAGTCATTATAGATTATCAGAACTCTTGGAAAACTATTAATAGAGAAATAGGAGTAATGATTATTACAGAGATAGTATTATTAATCAACAAAAAGATTGATGGTTATTTTCAAAATTTTCTGCTGACTGATAAAAATAATCTTCAATAGGCTATACATTTTGCATTTATCTTGCATATGCTTGGACATTATTGCGCATCAGCATCGGGATATTATATATAAATGGCGATTTATTTATTTATCCCTTGGATAAAAAAGACGATAAGAAGGTCTGTTTGGCAACTAACATTTCTCCGATTTGGTTCCAGAGTCTGGTCAGGTATGGCATTAGGTAATCATCAATCATTCAGAATGCATGAAATTGGTTGGCATAGAATATGGGACTGACCAGAAGATACATGAACGACCTTCTAACAATTAATAGACAAAAACAAATTGCACAAAATGACTACTCAAGAAATTCAAGCTTGATATTCCATGCACTGATGTGCCAGTGGTAGAAGTAGTTCAGTGTCAAGTACAGAAATAATAACATTCATCATGATATAATTAATAGTTTTACCAAATAAATAGTTTTCAATAAAAAAACAGTAATCTCAATAAAATATATAACCATTTTTGCAATGAAAAAAATCAAATTTTGTAAAAGCAAATAAATTCTCCTAAAAATATCACCTTCATTTTCTGGCATCTCGTCAGTCTGCATATTTGACTGGCCTTCTCCAGGATCATCTTGTACTGAAAGTATGTAGTATAATATTAATTACAGAACAGCTTTGATATGTATAGCAATGATATTGATAACAACAAGTTTATTACAGTACAAATGTAGGGTCTCATGTAGTTTCGTACCTAACATACTTCCAGTGGGCGTAGCATAATAATTTTTTCACGTGTCAATCCTAACCCCCACCTGACCACACCATCCAAAAATTACGTCACTACGACGTCACAGTGATGTAATAGAGCCCTTCAAATTATGCGATTTGTCATCCAAGACGCGCAGACGAGAACCCGAAATCGAACAGCCATTTCTCTCGTTTTCTCGTCGCAACGATCCCGATAGGAGAGAGATCGCTGACTTTAGTCAGTTCTTTATCGTCGGCGCCGATGCCATTTCGGGCGATCGTACGAGAATTTGGCAAGCTCTATGACGTGATTGTGATGTCGTAGTGACATAATTTTTTTGGATGGCGTAGTCAGGTGAGAATTAGGATTGGCATGTCAAAAAATTGTTATGCTTCGCCTACTAGAAGTACGTTAGGTAAGAAACTACACGAGACCCCAAATGTATATGATGCATTCAAGTCACTTTAAATACTTTTGAGACTGAGAAGTTTCTCATATCTTTTTTTAGAAAACCGTATATACAGATATAATACACACAAATTAAAAATGGAGAATTTTGGACAGCGAGCAAACCTTTGAAAATGTTTAAAACCTGAAAAATATCATCACCAGCACAGGCAAAAAAAAATAACAAAAAATACTATCCTAGTCAAGAGAGGCTTGAGCCAGTAATATATAAACAAAAATGTGCAAATGTATTGTACGTTCAGGCTGTTATACTTTTAAAACTGACTTAGGCAAAT